AAAAAAGGGGGTTTTGGGGGGGGGGCGAGGAGACGTCAATGATTTGTTCAATGGTTGCGTGATTTGGTGTGGAGATTAATTGTGTAGCTGTTGCTAGGTGCTTTGTATTTGTGACCTATTCGGATATGCATTAAAAAAGATAATTTACTTTTGAAGGGGAAAATGAAGGAAATATGAAACGTGTTTTCGGCAGAAGTTTACCCATTCACATAACCACTTCTTAATGAATGATAAATCGCTTACTTACAACTACATAAACGCAAACAAAATGCATATAAGGAGGGAGGTATACAAAAACTTTGTTTTGAGGGGTTATTTAATTAATTAATGAACACGGAGAAGACGGAAAAATTACTTAGTCGTTTTGATAACACGGGTTTTCAGTGACAAAAGCAAAAATCTTTAAGCTCGCACTAATTACTAATTGTTTGATATAACTCAGGAACGGCCGGCCGCAATCGCTGAGAAAAGGGTCCGAGAGTGTTTATGATACCATAACTGTGGTGAGCTTAGTTAAAAACTCCTCTCTACCGCTAGGAAAGAGGGTGAACACAGTGGCGCGCGCCAAACTCACCCACTACAAAGAGGGAACTAATGCCAACGTCAATAGAAGAAGTTCGATAGCATGGCCTTAACCTCCAGATCTGACCAGTGTGGTTCTGCTCCACACAAAAAAAAAAAAGAAAAGTCGAACGACAGCGATTAATTTCGCCTCGTTCTCCATGAAAAATGTGCTGAAGTGATGCGATGGCTCATCAATGCTGCCAGTGGCATAACGTAAATAGTGCTAACAAGCCAGAGGGACGTCTATATTTAGGAATATGCCCTTGCTCAAATGAAAATGATCACCACAAAAAGCCTGGTAGTTGAATCATTTATACTTACAATAATAACTAAGACACTTTCTACATCCCCTCATCACTTAGTCTCACACTTCCCTCCTATAAGTCAATCTATCACACAGGCATGACCAAATATTTCGTTGAAGGTCCACACACTCACACTTCCTTCCCTATAAGTCAATCTATCACACTGGCATGACCAAATATTTCGTTGAAGGTCCACACACTCACACTTCCTTCCCTATAAGTCAATCTATCACACAGACATGAACAAATATTTCGTTGAAGGTCCACACACTCACACTTCCTTCCCTATAAGTCAATCTATCAGACAGACATGACCAAATATTTCGTTGAAGGTCCACACACTCACACTTCCTTCCCTATAAGTCAATCTAACACACAGGCATGACCAAATATTTTATTGAAGGTCCACACACTCACACTTCCCTCCCTATAAGTCAATCTAACACACAGACATGACCAAATATTTCGTTGAAGGTCCACACACTCACACTTCCCTCCCTATAAGTCAATCTAACACACAGACATGACCAAATGTTTCGTTGAAGGTCCACACACTCACACTTCCCTCCCTATAAGTCAATCTAACACACAGACATGACCAAATATTTCGTTGAAGGTCCACACACTCACACTTCCCTCCCTATAAGTCAATCTATCACACAGACATGACCAAGTATTTCATCGTTTCTCTACTGCCCAAACACGCTGCTTTCATTTATGATGATGGGTGAGAAAATAAATAAAAAGACCATTTTAATTCCGCTGAAAAGTCTGAAATTCATACGGAACAGCACGAAGATAAGGGATGATTGTTGGACAGAGCGTCACTGAGCCGACTCGAATACCGGCACGTGGCACATCGCGTGCCAGCACGTGCCTCTTGGCCCCAGCACGAGCTGCACCTGGTTTGCTACTAATTTAGGACATTTGTCTTGCCCCAGCCAGACCCGCCTGTCCACTGCCGTCAGTTTGTGCACAGTCCTTCTCTTAAAATTTAAGACCTTTAGTTTAGAGGACTTAAAAAATTGTGGTTGTCCATTAAAAAATGTGGACATTTTAGAGTAGGCCCATTTGTTAGTAAATTTTCTTGTTTCTGAATTTGCCATCCTGATAGCCGGAGAAGTCTTGAACAGTGTTTCTTTCAGGCATCTCTCCGGGAGGGCACTGCCCTCCCCCCATCCGGGCAAGTCAAGTACCCCCTTCCCTCCCCCCCCCCCGGAACAAAATAACGAAAATATAACTTAATTACAAAATAAATAGTCATTTTTTATTATTTTAAAAAAAGCATATTAATATCATATTTCGGGAGGGCCCCGCCCCCCCCCCCTCCGGGCAAGTCAAGTACCCCCTTCCCCCCCCCCCCCCCCGGAACAAAATAACGAAAATATAACTTAATTACAAAATAAATAGTCATTTTTTATTATTTTAAAAAAAGCATATTAATATCATATTAACTGGTGCCTTAAGACCAATTACAATCAGTAGAATCTATAAAGT